TAAGTGGATGACTTTTAAGAAACTTGGGGTGACAAGGTTGAAGATTCTTGTTTTTGATGAGGCTGATCAAATGCTTGCTGAGGTAATTCTATCGTGATAATGAAATGTTGTTTATTTAGAATTTGAGGTTTCATTGTCCTTGGACTAGGCAAGCACATAGCCTTATCATTCTCCCTGAGCTTATTATTGTTACAATCTTTTGGGGAGTTGGCAACACCCTTGTTTTTTAATAGAATAAGTTACAATTAAATGGTAAGTTGTGACTCTCCTCCTTTAATGATGGATAAAGAGGAAGAGTGCACTAGTAGACCGCTTGTTTTAACCATAGTTTTAAATAGCGGGGAGCGGCCAGTAGCGGCCGACCCCAAAAACGCTATAGCGGGTAGCGGTAAAACCGCTACTGTGAAGTCCATAAATACTTATAATAAATTATACCACATATATTAATGCTATATAAATGCTAAAAGATAAGAAATCACCCAAAATAGGAGGAAATAAGTAATGAAAAGTATGATACTACACATTCAAAACAAGGATTAAAGGGAACATAAAGGAAGCAACATACTAGTTCATTGAAGGAAACTGAATTAATAATATTCTAGGAACATAAAGGATCCAAGTAGAGTCAAATACAAATTGCTCTATCAAAGTCAAGAAGGAAAAGAACTAATCAGAATCATCATCAAACATTTCTTCAAAGCCTTGTTCTTCTCCACCCTCACTTTCTTCACTAGTGTTAAATTTGTAGATTTTTTCATCCTCATCTTCTATTTCTTGGTTATCACCTTCTTCAATCTGTTCAGCCCTTATTCCCTTAGAGCTTGATGGCATAGAGGCATCTTCCTTCCTGAATCTAGTATGCTGCCTAGTGTAAGTTATAGGCTCATTAGCCCCAGTTACATTAGCAACATCTCCCCAAGTCATTGTATCATCATCAAAAACAAACTCATTTTCTGCATCTTCACCCACTTTTCCGACCAACCATTCATTACTTTCATCAATGTCTTTTAGGACAATAGGAGAGGGAAAGAAGATGACTACGGAAAGAAAACCATATATGCCTCTTTTCTTAGCAAAAGTCTACGGAAAGAAAATGATGAAAAAGACGAGGGAAGAAAACAAGATTTCCACCTCTTTTCATCAGCAAGATATAAAAAACAAATGCAAGTAAATATATATATATATATATATATATATATATATATTTTACATGTATTTATATTTTATTTTATCTTTGATAATATGCATTTATATTACTTTAAAATGGAAAATATTTTTATTGTATCTTTTATTAAATTTAATAAAAAGTAATATAATTAATTTTTTCATTTTATTCTCTTTATTATTGACACTTACATTCTAACATTTTTTATTTTTAATAAAACAAACCCTTATATAAAAAAATATTCTTTAAACTAATACTTAATATCATCTAATTCTAATTTAAATAGATAACATATCTGAAAATTTTATATCTTTTCTACACTTTTTTAAATTATATATCACATCTAAAAAATTATGTGATTCTAATTTGAAATTTTTTAAAAGTTTAAAGATAAACCCTTTTCTAATTTAATTTATATCTTGTTTAAATTATATATTTACAAGTTTTCAAAAACTTTTTTTAAAAGATTTAAAATAATTATTAAAATGGAGGAATTCAAAGTATATTATCAACAATGAAAAAAAGAGAGGAAACGTGTAGATATAGACTTATATATGAAAAGCAGATGTGTGTGACAGCCAAAGAGAAGTGTACGGGACAGCAAGGAGTGTGACAACAAAGAGATGTGTACGTGGCAGGTGTGCATGTGACCTGATGACTGATTCAAACTTAAATTTTTTTTTTAAAGTTAAATATCTATTTTACCCTTCGTTTATCCTTCCTTTTTCCCATAATACCCTTAAATGATAATCTAATTTAATAAACACAGCCACCGTACTTTCAGCGTTTCGTCTTCTCCATTAACGTCTGCAACTCTTCTTCCTTTCCCTGTAGCAGCTTGATAACGCTGTAAGAGCTGTTGGCCGCCACTGCCGCTACCGTACGCTACCGGCCGCTACCGGAAACTTTGGCGTCGCGGTGCGAAAGTTGTCGCTCCCGTCGCCCCAAGTAAGGGAGTCGACAAGGGAACCCGGGAGGCTACTCTTGCTGTTGACAGCCGTTGTTCTACCCAGCATGATGACTTGGTACAGAAAGGGCGCAAGATTGAGTCCGTAACGGCCGAGATCGGGCGGTTGGGTAAGGAAATTAGTGACCTGAAGGCAACCAATAAAACTTTATCTGACAGCAACCAAGAACTGAAAGGGGCTAGTGACGTGGTGCAACGCCTGTCGCAGGAGAAGGATGACTTATCAAAGTTATTGGATGAGTCTTCAACCGAGAAAAAGGGGCTCCAGGCGGCGAATAGCCAGTTGACTGCCGAGAAAGCTGCCCTTCAGTCGGAGAAGGATGCGTTATCTGTTGAGTTGACTGGCGTATGTGGTAACTTGCATGCCGCCCAAGAGGATTTTAAAAAAGCTTCTGGGCGAGTACAAGAGCTGGAGCTTGCCTTGCCTTCAGTTTTTTGTGATTCTTTTAACAACGCCCTGAATCAGGTTCAATTTCGATATCCTAAGAAAGATGCTTTGGGCTTGAGTGCCGATTATGTGGTGGAAGGGAAACGCCTGCTTCATAAACTCTATAATGGCGAGACGACTGTGATAGAGGAAGACCCTGACTCTGATGAGGAAGAGAATGATGTAGAGGAAGAACCAGCCAAGTTCGGTGACTCACCTTTAGGCGACCACCATGTGCTGAGTGGAGAGCAACCCGTAGATGGCGAACCTACTGACATCGTAGAGATCCCGTCGTGCGGATCCCATCGGTGGCGATGGTGTTATTGGCAACACTTCCTTTGGAAGGTATTGGTGAGGAAGCTTCATCTAGGAATAACGTTGAAGAAACTGCTGGGGAGGACGCCACTGAGGGGGTCTCAATAGCTGAAGAGGGAATCCCTACTGAAGATTGCCCAACTTAGTTTTTCTTTTTAACAACTATCTGTGTTTGCCATAGTTGATTCGCCACTATAGAATTGTACTTGTTATTAATCAATGGATAACCTTTCTTTTGGCAACTTCAACGCTTGATTATTGATAAATGATTGTGTAATACGCTTATTAATTGCACGCTGGCTGCGGAGTAATTTGGAACTTCCTCCAATATCTATGTTTTTTTTTATCTAATGTTAAATATACATCTGAGAAATTTTATATATTTCTTTATTCTTTATTGATGACCCTTGCCTTTAAGGATAGAAATTTTCACTAGAGACCAAAATTTGAGCATGCTCTACCAAATTCTCTTACGGATTCATTATGGCACAAAAGATGTTGGCACTTCAATCTCTGTTGCTTAAATTTTATGCATGATATAGACTTGACGAAGAATGTGTATACTGTTCAAAATACTAACTGTGTTCGTATATATGTTCTACCAACTTCAGAAATTGATAAATATACATCTGAGAGATTTTATATATTTCTTTATTCTTTATTGATGACCCTTGCCATTAAGGATAGAAATTTTGACTAGAGACCAAAATTTGAGCATGCTCTACCAAATTCTCTTACGGATTCATTATGGCACAAAAGGTGTTGGCACTTCAATCTCTGTTGCTTAAATTTTATGCATGATAAAGACTTGATGAAGAATGTGTATACTGTTCAAAATACTAACTGTGTTCGTATATATGTTCTACCAACTTCAGAAATTGATAAATATACATCTGAGAGATTTTATATATTTCTTTATTCTTTATTGATGACCCTTGCCTTTAAGGATAGAAATTTTCACTAGAGACCAAAATTTGAGCATGCTCTACCAAATTCTCTTACGGATTCATTATGGCACAAAAGGTGTTGGCACTTCAATCTCTGTTGCTTAAATTTTATGCATGATAAAGACTTGACGAAGAATGTGTATACTGTTCAAAATACTAACTGTGTTCGTATATATGTTCTACCAACTTCAGAAATTGATAAATATACATCTGAGAGATTTTATATATTTCTTTATTCTTTATTGATGACCCATGCCATTAAGGATAGAAATTTTCACTAGAGACCAAAATTTGAGTATGCTCTACCAAATTCTCTTACGGATTCATTATGGCACAAAAGATGTTGGCACTTCAATCTCTGTTGCTTAAATTTTATGCATGATAAAGACTTGATGAAGAATGTGTATACTGTTCAAAATACTAACTGTGTTCCTATATATGTTCTACAAACTTCAAAAATTGATAAATATACATCTGAGAGATTTTATATATTTCTTTATTCTTTATTGATGACCCTTGCCATTAAGGATAGAAATTTTCACTAGAGACCAAAATTTGAGCATGCTCTACCAAATTCTTTTAGGGGGCGTTTGGTTGAGGAGAAATTTTATGAATAATAGGAAAATGTTATATATAGGGAAATGGTTGGAAAGTGAGATAAGTAGGAAAATGTAAAAAAAAGTTGTTTGGTTGGAAAAAATTTTACCGGGGAAATTAAGTAACTTTTTTAAAATCTATGTTTGGCTGTAGATAAAATATAGATGGGAAAATAGGATGAAATGACAAAAACAACCCGATACAATTATTTTAAAGGAACCACTGCCTAAAAGTGAGTGTGTCGTAACATATCTCACTCCCCCCTAACGTAAATGTTTGGTTTCCTTATCGCTGTCTCTCTCTCCGGCTGTCGTTTCTCATATCGCCAACAATAACTCCGGCACGGTGAGGCAGTGGTGTGAACTCTGAGTCAACAGGCACAAAAAAGCTTCGACATTAAGGCAGTGTTCTACATTGCAGAGGTTTTGGGGACATTAGGGTTCGACCTGCGGGCTGGCACCATAAGCAACCATAAAGCGTGTTAATCCTTGTATGTACAGGTAAAAAAAATTCCCTGCTTTGAGTTATTGATTCCTCCTTTTGTGGTTTTGGTTTAGGCTTAAGAACAAGAGAGAAACAAAAATGGCTGGTCCAGAATGCTGTTCAAACCCACCAACCCTGGACCCCTCTAGTGGATCCGGCCATGTTCGTAAATTCGCTGGTCTTAATTCCTATCTCTCGGGCTCCCCCTACTCCAATCGAGCCATTCTCTTTGTCTCCGATATTTTTGGTATTAGTTCTATTTTATTTTGTAATTAATGACTTCAAAATATTAATTTCTTTCATATTTTAAAACATTTTTAGAACAAAATTATATCATTTTATATTTTTATTATATCTTTCTAATAATTTATAATCAATATAATTTCTTGCCTAGTTGAAGATATAAAAAAATCGGTATTTTGTGGAGCCTGTGGTTTATATAAAAAATTGATTGTATTGAATGCATGCAAACAAGGTTGCAGCTGCTGGGTATTATGTGGTGGTTCCTGACTTCTTCAATGGTGATCCCTTTGATTTTGATAATGTGAACAGGCCTTTACCTATTTGGATAAAAGATCATGGAGTGGTTAGTTCTTATTCAATGATAGTTGATTGTTTATAATTTTTTTTTAAGAAAACTTCGTGTTTTTGTTGAAATCCAATTTTTGGTATCCTTATCGAAACTTTAATAACTCTGATTTTGGATAAGAAACTGCTTATGTAATGTTATTGTCATTTTTCCAATTGGCCTGCCACTTTTATAGATGGTTTGGATTTGTATATGTAATATTATGAATTGTTTCAATTAAAATGTATAATAATTGTGACTTGTTTGTAAATTGGAATGTATTCTTTTTTCTGATGCTTACATATTATACTTACAGGACAAAGGCTTTGAAGCTGCAACACCCTTAATCAATTGATGACATGCTAGTGGAATCTTCCTTTCTTTTGGTTCTAGTTTTACATTTTGTTTGTATCTATTTTTTCTCTTCTATGTGGCTGCTAAAAGGAAGACCTAGCTTTTCAACAAACACAAAATATTCCTTAAAGAATCGCATCATTTTCTGACCAAACTATTCTAGTTCTTTTTCTTATCCCGTCTTAATGAACCCCTTTTGTTTAAGCAATACTCTTATCCAAGTCGGTTGGAATCTTCTTTACTCAATCACCCTCCTAGTCATATACTTTTCTTCAAATTATTTCTAAATGATTGAAGTCACATAATTTGATTGAGTACATTTCTTTCATTTCATTTAGCCCTAAGACTTTTTGCTACACATTGGACAAATCATGCCCCTTATCACATTCTGACATGTAAAGATTGGCTCCTTGTGTTTGGTCACAATTTTATAATTGAATCTTTGACCAAGCTTTTCTTTTACACTTTTTGTATATGAGTTAGGAGCTAAGGTGGCAGTTCCAGGTAAATTCATCAATGGCGGATTTGATTGGATCACGGGCATACTGCTGCTTTAAGTGCCAGAACCTTGTTGCTTTCCATGATGATATCATTTCCAAAGATTTCCAGGTGAACTTTTTTCTTGCATTTTTGGCATTAATCTTAAATGGATCATCCATTTGAAACCAATCTTTTGAGTTCAGAATAGGATCATAAAATTCATGTCTTGAGATAACTTGCTGAGCTAAAGATTCAGACTTACACACTCAATATAAATCACGTTATCAATCTTTTCAAACAAGGCCCTGAAATTAATTTGATCTATTTCACTTGTCTAAAGAGAATCACTTCAAATTATATATCAAATTTCATTCAAACTTGTGTGAACCATGGTTTTATAGTTCAAGTTTATTTGTTATTTGTTGCTTATACGAGTTAATAGGATGATTGATAAAGAAATTTCAGGTTCCTTTTTAACCAAGGATTAATATAATGTAATAATTTCATGGAAAAATTAATATTTTTTATGAAAGGTTATACCAATTTGAAAACTAAAAAGTTTAAGTTTCTTGGTCTATTTTAAGGCCTTCATGTAATGTAGGCTTCTAAATTGGTTTTCTGAGTTTCCAAGTTTCTCGACCTATGGCCTACATGCAATGTAAGCCTAAGCTTATTTAGGCAAAGTCTAGCTATTTGTACCTTTAGTTACAGTATCATGCTTGCCTTTTTTTCTTTTGTCATTCTACAGGTCTTTCATTTGATACTCTATGTTGCAATCTTGCTAACTTTAATATCTTTAGTAGTTTATTTATTTTTAAATACTGTGTGTTGTGGCCAAATCTGAATTTTCTTGATGTAATTAATACTCTGGCCATGTGTCTATGAGTTTGAAGTTATAATAAAGAGTCCTATATCTAAGAGTTGTTGTTTTGTTCACAATCATAGATGAGTACTTTCACCATGGTACATCATACTGCACCGCACATACCATTCAAATATTCAGAAGAATGGAATGCTGCTAAAGCACAGCTAAATGGAACTTTTCACTGTGATTATCCTCAATGGTAATGGGTTCTTTCTGCTCCTTTCATTCTAGTATATGCTTTTCTTACCAATATATTGACACATGGGGACGTAATCCCTGGTTTCTATTATCAATTAATTATGAAACATCTTTGAAATGTTTTAATACTTACAATTTCCTGATATCCATTTAATCTGTACCGCCAGTGAATATGTTAAATTTAAAATCACCTGATTATCCATATTTGAATTTCCTCAATATAAATCACGTTGAAAGCTTTTCAAACAAGGCCCTGAAATTAATTTGATCTATTTCACTTGTCTAAAGAGATTCACTGCAAATTATATATCAAATTTCATTCAAACTTGTCTGAACCATGGTTTTATAGTTCAAGTCTTTTTGTTATCTGTTGCTTATATGAGTTAATAGGATGATTGATAAAGAAATCTCAGGTTCCTTTTTAACTAAGGATTTTCAAGAGTTGTGTTTGACAGGCAAGCAATGGAAGTGAAAGGAGGGATCTGAAGATAACAAGAATTCCCAAGGTGGCATCAACGTAGGTGCTCGACACTCTACAATTGCTCCTAACTTGCCAGGAAGAACAGATAATTAGAAGCCACAATTATTGGAATACCCACTCTACTGCCTTCTAAAAGAGTTGCAACCTTCAAGAAGGGGTGCTGAGCATGAAAGAATGTTAGTTGCAACCTTCAAGAGTTGATTGGGCCCTTTTGGGATAGGGAGAGAGTGGAACCTCTCAAATGTGTTCCACACTAGCTTATTTTTCCTGCATTGACATTTATTTCTTGTCACTGTCATTTTCTGATTTGTGCTACATATAAAACCTTGTATGCACTAGTTATTCAATATATTAGGGAATTGGATTCAGTTCCAAATTGCTGTATTACTTGCTTTAATTCTGTACCTGTCTGGTTGGTTAAGCAATAGTTGTTGTGATATTTCAAATTGAGTTCCATTTGTTGCAGAGATCCTTAACCCTTTTTCTCATCTTTATTCACACAAAAAAAAGGAGGCAGAAATCGGTTCATTATACTTAGTTTTTTCCCAGCAGCTTTTAATGTTAACCATTGTGTTCATTTGTGTCCTGTAAGAAATCATAAAATACGTGAAAAAAATTGAGGAGGCACAAATTAGATAACTGCCTGTCATGTCTATCTTGTCCTACTCCAATTTGTACAACGAATTAAAAACATCCTCATAACCTGTTCATTAACTCAAGCTTCATAAACAATATTTGTTGTTTGATTTCTCTCATGTTAAAAAGGTTTAATGTAGTTAAAAAATGACTTAACCTAGAATTTCACTTGCAAGTGTCCGGCTGCATTCTGAGCAAGATGGAATTTAATTTGTTGCATCATTGTGAGTATGAACTGTGCTGTTTCATTGTTGATACATACCCCATTTGATTTTCACAATACAGGTTGGAAGGTCATTCGTGTGAAACTTTGGGATGCTAGAACAGGGTGAGAGCTTCGCTCATTGTGAGTATAAAAACAGGTGTTAATGAAATAGCATATTATCTCTTGTCTTCTTCGGTATAGAATCTTACATCTTGCATTGTCAATTATTTCATCTAATTGTTAGACTTAATGGTTTGGTGGACTAAGAATTCTTTCCTTATTCAACATTTCTTGATAATATAAATCCAGTTGTAATATTCAAAGGCTCTTTGTTGTAGGCTGAAGAGAATTGTGGATGGTAATTCTTATAATTAGAAACGTTGCCTATTATGAAAGATAATTAACGAAACATCTGACATTATTTTGAATTTGTTTATCTGTCAGTATACGCTAAACAAAATCCTGTCGCTGGCCGTGTGAGCAACAACTCCAGGACCATTTGTTGTTGGGTTGACTTGAAATGAGGGTACCATTCCAATTGTTGAAGTTGCCATGCCCTTATCAGTTCCTTTTGTTGATGTCCCTCAAGGGAAGCAAAAGCATCCCCATCCTGTTTAAATAGGTGCTGCTCCTCTTCCTCAAGGTCAACATATATCTCTTCTCACTGCCATTCAACAGAAACCTTACCCACAGAAATCCCACAACATTAGCAACAAGCACTACCATAACATATGGTTCTTTTGCCTATGCCTCCAAATATGCCACAAATTTTGGATATTTTGGTTGATCTATAATCATAGGATTAGCATGATAAAATGTATCTTTCCATAGTATCTGAGAGATGTAACTAGAAATCTTGTGGATCGGAGATGGAAAATATTTGTACTCAAGGTCACTATTAAACGAGGGTAAACAAGAATATTTTGTGTTACTTCATTTTCTAACCGTGTGCTAATGCTAAACAATCATTGAATGAATTCTCCTGAGTCAACGGTTACAATTGCTGGAAAAAATACTAGTGTTATAATGCTTGAGAGAATATACATTACTCAGCAAATGTTTTCAAAAAAATTGTTTCTGTACAAGCTCTCTTGTTTTCTTCTCGAGATCAGTCTGTACTTTTCTGCTTCCTTTGAAATTTGATCCCCTGTAGTGCATGTTAAAGTAACTTAGAATTTTGCAGGCTACTAATCAAGCACTTGCATGAGTATTGTGATATTGTGTACATTAATTTGGTTTCTAGTCCAATTGGTTTAACTTAGTTCGAAGTGCAAAAAATCCTGAAAGTTTGCGTAAGTTTCTGTATTCCTCTATTCATATGTGAGTCTGCTATGGCTCAAATTGTATACAGTTAGCAAGAAATAGAGAAAGAAAATGTTAAAAATATCATTTGAATTATATTTTTTATTTATGCCTGCATAGATATTGGACGTTTTTCATTACTATTCGATGAGAGCTTGGGATGGCATTGGCTTCAAATGAAAAGCAAGGATAAGAGAACAGATACTGCAAGTGTGGACATGAAATGGTATAACCTTGATAGACTGCAAATGAGGTGAAGTTTGCTAGTAAGCGCAATGCAAAGATCTCTTGGGTATACTTTACTATTGGATGAGAACAGATATTTTTTATTTATGTTTCTTTATTGAAAAGGGAAAGAATCAAAATATTATACCCAACGAAAAGCTGCAAATTTTTTTTTTTCACTCAGGGTATACTTTACTAATATTCACTCAAGTAAACAAAAAAAACATATTAGTATATCACGAAATAAAATTGGTTTGTCATGTAAAAAAAATAAAATTAGATATTTTTTCAGTAGTTACGTTTTTTTTTTTTTTGGTAATCAGTAGTTACAATAATAAATTTAAATTTAATATAAAATTATTGAATAAAAAAAAAAAATTAAAATTATAAATATATATATATATATATATATAGTTGATAAAATTGAAATTTGAAATTTAATTGAAAATAATTAAGAAATGATATATTTATACTTTAAAAGAAAATAAAATAAAAACTTAACTTAAAAGAATAATATAAAAAGATAAAAAATTTCCATACAAGTATTTTTAAGAAAATATTTAATATAAACCTTTTAAATATATATGTATAATCAATTTAAAATATATA